TTTAAATTGAATCTAATATAATAATTAATTAAATAAAAATACTAATTAACCTATAAAGCAAACTTTCACGTTAATACTCATCGAAATGATAATTTAACTATACAAAATTATATTCAATCTATATACAATTAATTTTCAAAAATTAAATTATATAAAATTAAATAAATTAAAAATATTTCTTTAAAAAATGAATTAACTATATTATAATGAAACAGTGAAACACACTTTTTTAACATAATTTCACTATAATAGTTAATCATATGTTTTATGTATCACTATTATAGATTATTAATTTTTTAATAACCACGTTTTTCAATTAAAATATCAAAATAATCACATTTTCAAATTATTTACCAAACTAACCACATTTAAAATTAAAAAAATGGACGACAAAAAGAGTAGCAACACAAAATAACACATGTTTTGGTATTTTGAACTAAAGCGCCACTCTTATTGGCGAATGCATATACATGATGCCATTGCAAGTGCTGCATGCATGCTTCTAATAGGAGCATGTGCTACAGACATGACTAATGCTTTGTTTTGTGAATTCTATAAATATTGCATCCTCTTCCATCATTTTTCACACATCTGATAAATCTCTCCTTCAATTTTTTTTCAAAATGTCTTCATACATGTGTTCTTATATCCATGGCACAGTGACTTCACATCGTGGAAGAATTTTGACAAAGTTCCCCAAAGTGTAATTTTTGCCATAAAAACCCTAATTTAAGTTGGATAATGACCCTGAAGGCTAAGGCAATGATCATAGGTCTAGTTAGCATGATAAATGAATTGGAGACAATGGTAAATGGGGATCAAGGATTTTCATGATTAAGCACGATCACAAGTTGTTACAAATTAAGTAAGAATCATATACTTAGGAATTAGACTAAGCAATGATTAGATAGTACGATAAAAGATAGGATAAGCAAAAGTGATTAAGGACCCTATGACTTGTCTATAATAAATTGAACTAAATGTGGGTCATATTTTCAAGGGTTAGGCTAAGTATATGGAGAAGTAGGATGATCATGTAATTAATAATCAAGTTTCTTACCCTCAAAGTGAGCAATGTTTAAGACCTAAGACCAAATGTAGATAAAGAACCAACAAACAAGGAATGAAAAAGGACTTAGGATAATCCTAGGCCATAGAATGATAAGACACATAATACAAGAATGTAAGACACACCAAGATATGGATAAATAGAGAAAATGTCAAGATAACTATAGGTTAAAAAGGACTAAGGACTATCGAGGTTAAATAAGAATTAGAGTTAAGAAGGAACCTAAGTACGAAAATAAGAATGAGTGACAATTATGATGTAGGTATAAGCTTAATAATGTCTATTGAATAAGGATTAATAAATATCATCCTTTAAGATGAAAAATCTTAATTAGGTAGTCCAATATGATAATGAATGAATGATTAAATGAGTGTTAAAGTATGATGTATGTATCTTAAAATGAATGAAATGAAAATATGAGTTAAGTGTTACATAGGGATGTCAATTTGACCCATCCCCAATAGACACATGCAAAATTATTCATAATGGGTAGGGTATAAAGTCGCAAAAATAAGTACGGGCACATGCTCGAGTAATTAACTGTAAAAATATGTGGGTATGAGCACCTTGGTATCCACCCCGCCCCATACCCGCACAATATATATTTGTGTATTTTAATTTATGTTGTATATTTTAATTAATATTATTATATAAAAATGTTTGTCTATCAATTTTAAAATGTATATAAATGTTAAGCCATTATGTATTTAATACAAGTGTTCGTTTATTTCAATATTAAATTTTTTTTAAAAAATTTCAATGTTTTTAAAAGATTAAAATGATATGATATTTTATAATTAATTGACTTATTTTTAATAGAAATACGGATAAATACAGGTATGAGTACTTACATACTCATTTGGGTACGAGAGCTAACTTCGACACCTAAGTGGGTGTGAGTTCGAGTACGAGAATTTTTCAAATTATAAATGTGGAGATGAATACTATAGTATCCTACCCATTACCATCCCTAGTGTTACAAAATAAACCTAAGCAAGTTTATATCTATTGTAAGCAAATCCTTAGCATGATAGACCGACTATTGGAGGGAAAATCTGAAAGCTTTATATCCAATTAGAAAAATTCTGAATACTTGTTAAGGAAAATCATATGGGATATAGGGAAACAAATTTGAGTAGTTTCTAATTAGTGTAGAAGAATCCCAACTATTTTAATTGATATTCTAGACATATTAATTACGATGTTATATTTTGGTACCAACTACAATTCCAAAGTACTATTTCTGAAGACACATTTTGTTAATGTTGTATATTAACTTCTAGATAAGTATTTGAATTTTAATGGATTTCAATAAACACAATCAATCCAACAAGTTTCTTATACATTTATTTATTTATTATTGTTATGTGTTATTTTGTTTCACTCATTTTTTAATTTAGTAGTTCAAAACACTCGAAATTCATATGTAACAATCTTTAGAGGAGTTAAGGTCTTAAGAAACTCATAGTCGGAAAAAAGATTCATTCCATAACATAATTGTTTGAAGAAAATTGAATTGTAGTTAAAAGTTATTATTCGAGACCCTAACTAATTTTGAAGTTTAAGAATACATGTTCAAACTTTTTTACACTATCAATTCACTAAAATTAAACAATTTAATATATAAATGTGATATTTCTGATATGTTTTTTATTTATGGACAAAGGTACAACAAGAGTTCTTAAATTGGACTAGAGTTAGCTTAGAAATTAAGAGATGTGATATTTCTTGGATTAAAATACTCTTGTTTTAAAGAGTGTCTGCGAGTTATAACAGTTGCAATCACAAAATACATTTCTTGAAAGCTAGATGTAACTTTCGTTGATATTAGGCCCATCCAAAATAAAATATTATGTTTATCTTATCCATTATCATCATTTTTACTTATTGTCTCGTATTTTATTTTATTTATCTTCAAACATCGTAGATTATAGGTTATAAATTAGTATTGTAGCAAGTAAAAAAATATGCATATCATAGTTGAAATCTATTCTTATATGCAAATATCTTAGTTAATTTAAGTGAAAAACAAGAGGAAAGCAAGACACTTGTGTGTTTTATTTTTCTTACAATTTTATTTACTTGATATCGTTTTTCTTTGATAATTTTTAGTAAAAGTATAGTTTTGTACTATAGAAATAAAACTTGAAGCCACTCTTAAAATTAATTTGTAGGGATTATTTTGTTTGTTATGATGGCTATTTGTGAATTTTATCTTCTCATGTCTTTAGTTTTGTTTTTCTATTATAGTTTTTACTAAAATTTATCCTATAAAAAATTGAGATCTCTTAAAGTTTACATTTTTATCTCCTTCCTTTCTTAAATTTTATCTTTTATTTTATGAAAAAGTTATATTGCATTCATATTTAATAATTTAATTTATATATTTATATTAAATTTCTTTTAACATTACTATATATATATATATATATATATATATATTTTATGTATATAATTTATTTTTTATTTATGAGGTACATAAAAATGTTAAAAATTATATAAAAATTTTAATCATAAAAAATAATTAGAATTTAAAATAAAATAACATGAATTGATAATATAATAACTCACTATTTTTCAATTTAATTCTTAAAAATAAAATAAAATGCACCGAGTGTGTAAAATATTTTACATGTATATGATATATTTTTTATTTATGAAATAGATAAAAACGTTAAAAATTATATAAAAATTTCGATCATAAAAAATAATTAAAATTTAAAATAAGATAACACGAATTAATGATATAATAATTCATTATTTTTCAGTTTAATTCTTTAAAAATAAAATAATAAAATATTTTACACCGTGAACCAATTATATAATAATTATACATATTTTAATTATTTACATGTAAAACTGTTTTGCACTATCTTAAAATTCGTTTTTAAAACTATAATAGCTATTAGATGTCTCGTAGAATTATGTATCACTCGGAAAAAAAAATTCTAGGTTTAATAAAACCATTTTCCAATTTGGTATTTATGAACCAAACCAGATAGCTTTCTACAAACCGGTTTATAATTCTATGAAATAAGTTTGAAACCGCTTTAGAATCGGTTCAACTTTTATAACAGGTTTACAAACATGTTATCCTAAAAGTGGTTGGTTCTCAGAATTGATCAAATTGAAAACATGGAAAATCGAGAAAAGATGTTATCATAAATTATTCAGGATTCTGATTCGTCCTGGTCGATCTTTGGTCTTCATATTGGTCCATCTATGGCCTTTCTCATCCACAAAAGTGACCTAGCTGCAATTCCTTCTTCCCGGTCGATCTTAGGTTGTGTTTTGTGGTTTTTCTTTTATGGAGAAGAAGAATTTCTGAAGATTAGGGTTCAAAGGATATTATGTTATGTCCACTGAAAAATCACCGGAATTGCTGAAAGAGTAACTGAACCGGTTCTAAACCAATGTGTGAAACGGGTACCCGGATCCAAAATAAATAAATAAATAAATACATATAGATAAATATTAAACCTGCATCTTTCACTCTTTACTCTAAAGTCAAACGCCAACATTTGAATCTGCATCTCCGTCGTCACCGTCGGCTCCATTTCCGGTAGTTTTCAGCTTCTTATTTCCATAACTTTTTGTTCTTATTTTTAACTTTCACATATATTGCAGCATTATACTTATGTTTATCTGTTTTCTGCCAAACCTATGTGTTTTCAATTAGAATTATATTATTAAACCCACATTTCACGGTTTTGGATTGGAAATGCAGATTAGACACTTTTATTGTGCTTAATTTTAACTGTTATGTTCAGATTAAGGTTTTGTCTCATCGTTTGAGATTTATAACTTTTTGGGTTTAAGCCTATAATTATATATATACTAATATGAATGTAAACTTGAACAAGATGTTTACTTTGTTCATTGTATGATTTTAGCTTCTACAGACGGTGTGGTGCTATCTCATCATATTAGAATGGCTTCATTTGTTTCCACCGATTGTTTTCTTCCCGCACTCAAGCCTCAGCTTGGATTTCTGAATCATGACGGCCATGATCGTTCTTGCCGTAGTATTAATGTCTTGCGTCTTCGTAAAGCTCCTAAGAGTCCCTTTTTGTTTTCTTCGCAAGGTTATACTACTCCTTGTCCTTTCTATAATATTTAAAGTTTTTGGTTTACATAACGAAGAATCCGATTTTTGTAGTTATGTTTAATAGTGTCATGATTAATGATTACTACCGTTCGTAAAGGGGTTAATATTTTCAGCATTTTTTATCATGCTTTTGACTTTGGTAATTTTCTTTTCTTGCATTGGAGCTGTTTTAGTAGCTGAACAATTCACTGCTTTCCTTCTATAGCTTTAGATGTTAAGCCACATGTTCAGAGCAACGGTCGATCATCTTTTTCGCAGACAGCTGCTGTTAAGCATCTGACGGGATCTGTTACCAGAACTCAGGGACTCCGTTTCGCTGTAGTAAGTATTGCACAAAACTAATGCTAAACTGTTTCATGTGATGCCTTTGACAAAACACTTGCCTTTGTTAGTCTTATATTATTTCACCGCTTTTAAAATTTCGACCAGAAGACACCTATGTTTAGTTAAAAACTAAGCACTCATTTAATAAGCTATTACGGGGAACTTATTGAAATCATTTAAAAAATGTAAGTGCTATCTCATAAGTTGTTTATGTAAGTGTATCTGAATACTAGTTCAAGCACATATTGCTGGAGATGAGTTAAAATAAGCTTTTTCAAATGCTCTAGTAATGTTTGAAACAAGAAAAAACAGACCGCACCAGCAATTTGAATGTTTGAAACAAGACAAAACAAACCACACCAGCTATTTGAATGACATGCATGTATGTTTTGGAGTTACGATTTCCATCTTACTTTTAGTTGATTTATGGAAAATTCATTACATTCAAATCTGATGTTTGACATGCCAATATCTCCATACATTTGACATAAACTACCCTCTAAGTCACTCACCCCCCAAAGTAGCCAAGCACCACATAAAGGGTAGGAATATCACTTTGTTCCATAGAAGTAACAATGTAAAAAAATGTCACTAAAATCCTTCTCTATAATTATAGTCATCAAATCACAGAAGAAATTACACACCACCAATGAATATTTCCATCTTTCCTCCTGCCAAACCTTTGAAGTAGCAGATAAAATATTGATCCAAGTACTGTAAAGTATGCACCACAAATATTTTTTTTTTGTCACAACACAAGATTTAGGGGCGACAGAGAGTTTTATGTGAGATGTACAAACCTGTAAGGCTGTAACAATCATTTGTATTATTACTATCAAGTACAACAACCCATCTAAAATGTTGTGTTAGAGGGAATCTTGGGCCTGCCCATCTAGAGTTGGATTCCAAGAATAAAGTTGCGTTATCTTTTTGGAGAATAAACGCAGAAACTCCAACAGAGTCTAGTGCCCAAATCTTATTTTCCAGAGATGAGAGAATTTTGGACAGCAAGGAAGTTGCTAATGGGGTTGTTGTATGTAGAGGATAAACAACAAATGCGATAATATGTAGTAGTGAAACAACCCAAGTCTATCATGAGGAAGTTATCATATTTTGCTTCCAAATTTTGCATTTCTTTTCCATTTAAAATGGATTATAATCATGAAGATTTTCTTATTGTTTTATCTGTCTTTGCTAGTTTCTTAACACCTTTCTTTTAGGTTGTTGCACGGTTTAATGAAATAATCACCAGGCCACTCTTGGAGGGAGCTTTGGGTGCTTTCAAGAATTATTCAGTTCAAGATGAAGACATCGATGTAAGTGATCTGTCTTATAAGTTATTGGAATGTGACTTATTATTACTCTATATGATATTACTCTAGTATTACGTGGGGTTGATGCCTTTACAAAAGTTCTACTCTTTGTATCCTTTACTCATTTTTATCTACATGATGCATAAAGCCTTTCATTGCCTTGCTTCTAAGTTTTATTGGTGTATGACGTAAAACAAAACTCTGCATGGCTTTACCATTTCCCCTGCTCTCATAAATATGCATCACTTGACAGTCGCTGGCAGTTACCATTTGAAATCATGTGCGATGCGAATGATTACGCAGTAGGTGCAGTTCTAGGACAAAGGGAAGACAAAAAGTTTCATGCAATCTACTACGCCAGTAAAACTTTAGATCCTGCCCAAATGAACTACGCCAGTAAAACTTTAGATCCTGCCCAAATGAACTACGCCACAACAGAAAAGGAACTTCTAGCAATTGTGTTCGCCCTCGACAAATTCCGTTCCTACTTGGGAGGAGCAAAAATAATCATCTACACAGACCACGCTGCCATTAGGTATCTGATAAGCAAAAAGGATGCCAAGCCGAGATTATTACGCTGGATCCTATTGTTACAAGAGTTTGACTTAGAAATCAAAGACAAAAAAGGAACCGAGAACGTAGTGGCCGATCACTTATCCCGAATAGAAGGCATTAAGTCAGAATCAGTGCCTATCAACGACGATTTCCCTTATGAACGCCTGATAGCCAGATTGGAAAGCGATATGCCACACTTAACCTCAGAAGAACCAGAATTAGAAAAAGCCGTGGAAGCCGTCTACGCACAAGTCACCCTGCCTTGGTATGCTGATATTGTAAATTACTTAACCGCAGGCGTGCTCCCACCGGACTTAACGTATCAGCAAAAGAAGAAATTCTTCCACGATTTAAAACACTATTACTGGGATGAACCTCTGCTTTTCAAGAGAGGAGCCGACAACATATTCTGTCGATGCGTCCCAGAGGAAGAAACTGAAGACGTCATCTCTCATTGTCACTCCGCCCGTTACGGTGGACATGCCAGTACCTCAAAGACATGCGCGAAAATCCTACAATCTGGCCTATTCTGGCCTAGCCTTTGGAAAGATGTCCACGTTGCAATACTAAGGTGCGACCGGTGCCAACGCACTGGAAGCATTTCAAGGCGCGACGAGATGCCCCAAAAAGGTATTTTGGAAGTGGAAGTCTTTGGCGTATGGGGGATAGATTTCATGGGTCCGTTCCCATCTTCTTTTGGAAACAAATATGTACTCGTCGCTGTCGACTACGTATCAAAATGGATTGAGGCCGTTGCCGCTCCAACTAACGACACGCGAGTAGTTATCAAACTCTTTAAGAATACCATTTTTCCCAGATTCGGTGTGCCCAGACTTGTCATCAGTGACGGTGGTTCACACTTCATAGCGCGAATTTTTGACAAACTTCTATCGAAATATGGAGTAAAACACCGTATCACCCGCAGACCAGCGGCCAAGTGGAGGTCTCCAACAGAGAAATAAAGCAAATCTTGGAAAAGACAGTCGCCACCTCCAGGAAAGATTGGTCATCGAAATTAAACGACGCTTTATGGGTCTATAGGACTGCTTACAAGACGCCGATAGGAACCACACCATTTAAATTAGTCTATGGAAAATCCTGCCACCTGCCAGTGGAGCTAGAGCATAAAGCCTTTTGGGCTATTAAAACGCTAAACTTAAACTACGTTACTGCTGGAGAGAAACGAATCTTGAATCTGCATGAATTGGAAGAACTTCGACTAGACGCATACGAAAACGCCCGCATATACAAGGAAAGAACCAAAAAGTGGCACGATTGAATCTGCATGAATTGGAAGAACTTCGACTAGACGCATACGAAAACGCCCGCATATACAAGGAAAGAACCAAAAAGTGGCATGATAAGCGATTAGTCAAAAAACAGTTAAATGTGGGAGACATCGTGCTCATCTTTAACTCAAGATTGACACTTTTCCCAGGAAACCCAAAGTCAAGATGGTCAGGTCCTTTTGAGGTAACTAAAATCCTTCAAAGTGGAGCTGTCGAAATTAGCGATAAAACAATGCGCCGTTCATAGTCAACGGACAAAGTTTAAAGCACTACAATCAAAATGACCACAGTAACCACGTGAGCAGTTTGAAACTGCTAGAGCTTCCTGCTCAACACCCCGACTAGCTTGTCACCAAGCTATCGTCAGACTTCAGGCTTTTGACGTTAAAAACAGCTCTGCATGGGAGGCAACCCATTTTCCCTCGTTTTTCCCTCTTAGTATTTACTTTATGTTTTCCATTTGATTTATACTTTTATACTGTTTCTCTATTACTTATCCAATTTTCCTTTTTTTTTTTCTTTCTTCATTTTATTTTATTTTATTTTCTTTATTTTTATCAACTTCTGTTTCTAAAAATTTAATTTGAGTAAATCTGCTTTCAACTGTTTCCAGGATTTTAAAGCCTTCTTACTTCTCTTCTTTTTTATCTGACTAACTCTCGAGCATGGTTAACATCGACTATATGGTTACCGTATTTAGAGGACCCGCTCAGCAAGCTAGATTTGAGGCCCTGACTCAGAGAGGCATCGCTTTGACCTTGTACTATGATGGATCCACTATGGATCAGTTAGGAATCCACGATAGCATCCTCTTTTTGTTTAACCAATTAGGCTGAGAGCGAACTGCTCTAAAGACCCGTTTTGTCACCTATCGCGAACTCACGTTCGAATTCCTTAGCTCCCTAGACTACATACTCGAATACGGCTATGGATCCACCAAGGAGTTGATATGCTTTAGACTGTTTGGGGCAGTATTCACATACAACCGTAAATTACTGGCTGACCTCTTAGGCTTCCCTAGCGGACCCTTCGTGTATACTGATGTCCATAAAGCTGATATGGATATCGAGTTAGATTATTTCTACAGATAAAGATTATTTCTACAGGTAATTATCACCCTTAGAAGCTGATATGGATATCGAGTTAGACTATGATGCCCATGAAGCTGATATGGATATCGCTTTGGGAAGGAGGAAGATGTTATCGCAGTAGTCAGTATACACGAAGGGTGATAATTACTTGTAGAAATAATCTTTACCTGTAGAAATAATCTAACTCGATATCCATATCAGCTTCATGGACATCAGTATACACGAAGGCCAGGGAAGCCTACGAGGTCAGCTAGTGATTTACGGTCGTATGTGAATTCTGTCCCAAACAGTCTAAAGCATATCAGCTCCTTGGTGGATCCATAGCGGTATTTGGGTCTGTAGCCTAGGGAGCTAAGGAATTCGAACGTGAGTTCGCGATAGGTGACAAAACGGGTCTTTAGAGCCGTTCGCTCCCAGCCTAATTGGTTAAACAAAAAGAGGATGCTATCGTGGATTCCTAACTGATCTATAGTGGATCCATCATAGTACAAGGTCAAAACGATGCCTCTCTGAGTCAGGGCCTCAAATCTGGCTTGCTGAGCGGGTCCTCTAAATACGGTAAGCATGTAGTCGATGTTAGCGATGCTCGAGAGTTAGTCAGATAAAAAAGGAGAGAAGTAAGAAGGCTTTAAAATCCTGGAAACAGTTGAAAGCAGATTTACTCAAATTAAATTTTTAGAAACAGAAGTTGATAAATAAAATAAAATGAAGAAAGAGAAAAAAAAAAGGAAAATTGGATAAGTAATAGAGAAACAAGTATAAATCAAATGGAAAACATAAAGTAAATACTAAGAGGGAAAAACGAGGGAAAATGGGTTGCCTCCCATGCAACGCTGTTTTTAATGTCAAAAGCCTGACGATAGCTTGGTGACAAGCTAGTCGGGGTGTTGAGCAGGAAGCTCTAGCAGTTTCAAACTGCTCACGTGGTTACTGTGGTCATTTTGATTGTAGTGCTTTAAACTTTGTCCGTTGACTATGAACGGCGCATTGTTTTTATCGCTAATTTCGACAGCTCCACTTTGAAGGATTTTAGTTACCTCAAAAGGACCTGACCATCTTGACTTTAGGTTTCTTGGGAAAAGTTTCAATCTTGAGTTAAAGATGAGCACAAGGTCTCCCACATTGAACTGTTTTCAGACTAATCGCTTATCGTGCCACTTTTTGGTTCTTTCCTTGTATATGCGGGCATTTTCGTATGCGTCTAGCCGTAGCTGCTCCAAATGCCCCTAGAAAATCAAATCTTGAATTGATGATGGAAAAATTCAGTTACTCAAGCTCAAACGAACAAAGAATTTCTGAATCAAAACATACATACTAGCGAGCAGATTAAACAGTTAACCAGCAAAGTAGACGCTTTAGCCACCCAACACAAAATGCTTGAAACGCAGATATCACAGGTGGCTCAACAACAAGCTTCTGCAGCCGCACCCGCTGATACATTTCCTGGACAGCCAGAACCTAATCTGAAAGGTCATGCAAACACTGTCATATTAAGAAGTGGAAAAGAACTGGACGGACCGACCGATCCTAGGAGTAAAAACTTAGCCATGCATCAGAAAACTGATAAATAGGCAGAAAAGGAGTCTGAAACCGAAGAGAGTCTGAAACCGAAGAGAAGAAAGATAACGAGAAGGAGGCCGCCAAAAATGAAAACCCGTATGTGCCTCCACCATCGTATAAGCCACCGATTCCTTATCCTCAAAGATTCATAAGCTCCAAAACTACAGGGCAATTTAAGAAATTCATAGAACTTCTGAAGCAACTGAATATCACCATTCCTTTCACATAAGCTATCACTCAAATGCCCTCATACGCTAAATTTCTCAAAGAAATCTTATCTAACAAAAGAAAAATCGAGGATAATGAAACAGTTACACTTACTGCCGAGTGTAGCGCGATCATTCAAAATAACATGCCTCCTAAACTAAAAGACCTAGGTAGTTTCTCCATACCTTGTGTCATAGGAAAGTTCGTCATAGACAAAGCTTTATGCGACTTAGGAGCCAGTATAAGTGTTATGTCCTTATCTATATGCAAAAAGCTGAATATGGGTGAACTAAGACCAACCAAAATGTCCGTACAATTGGCTGACCGATCAGTCAAGTATTTCGTCGGTATACTGGAAAACGTTCCAGTGCGCATAGGTCAATTCTACATTCCAACCGACTTTATAATCATGGATATTAAGGAAGACTCTATTACCCCGATTATCTTAGGAAGACCCTTCCTAGCAACAGTCGGAGCTATTATAGACGTAAAGAAAGGTAGGCTAACATTCGAAGTAGGAGAAGAAAAGATAGAATTCATCCTCACCAAGTTCTTACAAGCACCGGCCATAGACGACACATGCTATTTAGTAGACGTCATTGACGAATGCATAAGAGAACTGGAGAAGGAAGAAACTACATACTTTGAAATCATGAAAATCCAAATCCTTTAAATTCATGAAGACGACAATTGGCGTGCGCCATACAAAGATGATAGTCTAAGCGAAATCAACGGCGCCAAAAACTTGATCGCGACTTTCTTAGTCTAACCGAACTAACTGCAAGTGCACAGTCTATCGCGTAGTAATAAAAGATATCGATCCCACAAGGACTCGTAATCAAACTAGTGTTCTCGGGTGTTACTATGTTTAGCTAGGTTGGATAGGGTTTAAGAGAATGGATGCAAAAGTAAAGGCTAAATTAAAGAAAGGCTAAAAGGGTTTTTTTTTTTTAGAATATTAATACGGGAAATCGATATGCAATGCCTTAGTTCTTCGGGATTCGACAAGTCATCGGCGTGGTTTAATAACTTCAAAATAGTTTTCAGAAGAAAATAACGGTTTAAAGACTTTTGTCTCACGTTGTTTGTTGACGCTAGTCGCAACTCTAAGGCGGAATGTATGCTTTCGCTATCCCATTCGGGGTTAAAATTGCTTTTTGAAAACCATTGAGTTCTAATTTCTTTTAAAGCGCTTTCGCTGTATTTAAAATAAATGCCTAGTTTTTACTATCTGGTCCTAGCCTCAGCTTTCGCATGTCGGTTCGTACCTTAATGAATCTCCCACTGTCGTGGCGAGTTTACTATAAACAAATTCTCGCTGTCGCGACGAAATTTAGTTTAATAAATTTAGATTAAAAACTACGGCCAGAAACAAGTTTGAAAAAGTGGAAAAACACCGGATGTTATCGAATCCCGTCCTACTAATTTATTACATACCGATCGATCCGGTTTAGATAGACATGGATTTTAAAGCAGACATAATTGAATGAAAACAGCAGAATACGTATACATACATTATAATGGCAAATGGAAACTTAATTAATAGTAATGAACCTGTAAATAATTCAGCTTCGGCACTTGAGTAATCCCCCACAATGTTGGCAGGATTATTACTTCGGTGACGATTAACGTACGGAAAATTAAAGCAAACAGTACAACTGGAATTTTAAAGGAAAATCAAGAAAAAGGAAAACAGGAACAGTGTTTGGCTTTTGTACTAAAATTGGGCAGCACTTCGTGATCTTCAATGCGGCCCCCTGGTTCCAGTCCTGAACCTCTCCTTTTATAGTGGAGGTTTCTTACGTGAAATACCTCAGGAAGTGGAGTTGAGGGTGAGAGAGTCCAGGGAGACGTGGTTATATTTTCTGGGCTTCTGTTGACACGTTCTCAAAAGTGAATGTTATTTTGTTTTTGCAAGTGTGACGATCGTGAGGGAGATGAGACGTTCGTGATGAGCATGACGATCGTGAGGGACCTGTGACGACCGTCATATCAGCAAAAATTCATTTCTGCTATTTTTTTTGTCTTTTTTCTTCTGTTTTGTGTCTTCTAACATTTGTTTTCTTTGTCTTGTTCTATTTGAGTGTGAACTTCATATACCTGCAAAACACTTAACGAAAAAGCTCGAAACGATCTAAAATCGTGGCGAAACCAAACATTAGTAGCATAAAATCATGGCATTTAATATATACGTTTTCGCGTTATCAGTCGCTTCTATGAATAATGCATGAAGAGAAAAATGTTGCTTCCACTGACCCCATTGCATAAGGTGACTGATAGTTTGAATTTAAATTAAAAATGGATAACATTTACCATCTCCTATCTTTATATGAATAGTAGTGGGATAATGATTGGATATTGTTGTTGCATTGTTATCACTCACAAATAAGATATATGAATAGTGACAGTTTTACTTTGGTCTGAATGCTAGCCTCACTTTCTTTTGCATTGACTACTGACATAATTTGTTGATTTCTTTTATCCTGTAGGTTGTGTGGGTTCCAGGTTGTTTTGAAATTGGTGCTGTTGCTACAAGACTCGGAAAATCAGGCAAATATCATGCAATAGTATGCATAGGAGCTGTGGTATGATAAATCCTGACAAATAGATCAAAGTCTTTTGTAGAATTTGTAAAGCTAATGATTACCAATCGACTGTATTTATGTTGACTTAATCTGTCTTATGTGGCCAACATTTGTTGTTCACAGATACGGGGAGATACAACTCATTACGATGCAGTTGCTAATTCAGCAGCATCTGGAGTGCTTTCAGCTGGTCTAAACTCAGGTCTGTATTATGTTTTTGTCAATGATAATCTCTAGACACCAACAAATCGCGCTTGACTTAAGTATTTAGCAACAAATAGAATCTTGAATAGCACCAAGGTCGAGAAGAAGCTTTTGAATTCTAAGGATTATAATTTTGAAATTGTTGTTTTATCAAAGTAATAGTATACACCCATGTAAGTTAAACTTAAGATCGGTGTTTGCTGAATAAATACTAAACTTTATTTCCTCTATTCTAGTTGCGGCATGACAGGATAACATTTATTTGCCAGTATCTGCTTTTTTAATTTGTTGTGGTAAACATAAAAAATTACTTAAATTTTGAGATGACTTTGCAGGTGTTCCATGCATATTTGGAGTCCTAACATGTGAGAACATGGATCAGGTAAACCTATGCTATAGCATTTGTAATGAAAGTTGTGAATTTTTCTGAGCATTATCATTAAATCGATACTTTTTTCTTTCTTTTTTGCCTATCTGCAGGCTATAAATCGTGCTGGTGGAAAATCTGGGAATAAGGGTGCTGAGGCTGCATTGACTGCTGTAAGTTTACAATATCTAATTATGTATATGGAACTTTCTAAAAATTTATATGCTTTGAATGTTGTAGTTTTCTTGTCAGAAGACGTCTTATCCTCCCGTCTTCTTGTATATGCCATAAACCAATCATTTCAGAAGCCTGAACTATCGAGTGAAGGGTCATAAATGACTTTGTTACATGTATAATACGTTCTCACATGAAAGAGCCCTTTGTGCTTAAACATAATGTTGTTGTTTACCCTATCCTGTGCTGAATTTAACTTCTTTCACAAGAATGGAGATAACAAAGATTGAAATCCTAACTAACTTAGTTATAGAGGCTCTATGATTATGCCACGAGCCATTAGCCAATTACCCCCGAACCTTAAGCTGTTAAATAAAGACTCATATGAGCGACTTTATTACATCTCTAACAGTGGGCCCTTCTAATTTGTACTCGTTGAAAAATGGTCGAAATACAAACTTAAAATTCTTGTTTGTTATAACTTGAATAAATGAGCCTCTAAGTTGCACTCTATGTATCATCATTTTCCCGAGAGTTTCAACAGTTTTTGCGTGGCTAAATAGTTTAACTGAATCAATGCTTCATGTGTTGTTGTCTGTGGTACAGATTGAGATGGCATCCTTGTTCGAGCATCATCTGCAGTAGCCGTGTTTTGGAGCGGTGGGCTAGTGCCTATTTTCATCTCCAAAATGTTTATGTTCTTTCTTCAACAATAATCATATCTTCTCAAACTACTGGTTATAAATAAGTAGAAGATAAGTGCTTTTTCTTCCTATTAATTTATGTGTTTGAATGGGCACTGTTGTGTGGTGTTCACGGATGGAAAGTTTTTTTCATGTAACAATAACATTAAAGAATATACCAAGAGAGCAAAGTTCATCACCTCATTTATACAAGAATCATCTTTATCATAGTCCATGTATTTTGGTGTTCCTTTCACTTTTGATTAATTGTGTATGCAAGTGTTTTAACAAAGGGGAATGCTTTCAAGTGCCCTCATGGTTAAGGTTAAGGAGCATTAAATTAGCTATGGTCCCACTTATTTTATTGTGAAATGAACAACAATAAATTGTTAATTTGTTAATTAAAATTGAAACGTGTGGTATACACTACTCTCCCATATTAACAAGACTTCCTATCAAAAAGCGACTACACGCGCATCTGAATCATTCTTTCTCTTTCTTAAAAAAATTGTTTTTTATTTTGTTTGTAGCCATAATAAAAAAAACTTTAGAGTAAATATTAAAAAATGAAGGTAAAACGTTTTAACTAGCTAATATTTTAGCGGGAACCCACTCACATCCACTCACTCTACAATATATACTGTACACAAAAGACAAATGAAATTTTTGTTGGTTTTCTCTACTCACAAATTTTCAGTAGAATGTTAATGAGAATGAAAATCTAAATGCTTCAATTCAACACAAAGGCAATCAAATTCTCATGCTTAACAGGTAATATTCTTAAACTTTAATTTAATTTTTTTTTATATGTATGATATAGTGTTTATAGTAATATACTTATTTGTATGATATAAAATTGTTATTTGTAGATAGTAATATAAAAAAGTTAATTGTATGATAGAGTGTTACTATGTATATAGTGATATAATTATTGTTTTGATATATTTGTAATGATAATGGCATAATGGATATTAGTACTTCTATAGACATGAGTAACAACAATATAAGAAATTTTGATTTGAATGAATGTCCAGTGGAAGATTTTTCTGTGGAGAATGATTATTCGGAAGTAATCGTTGAACATTTCGATTGTAATATTGGGGAGAAAGACGTGTTAGAAGGGGACATTATTAGTAGTATTGAAAAAGAAAATCTTGTATCTTCTAATTAGAATGTTGAGATCAATGAGTTTTTAGAAGAAGTTGATAATGATGGAGCGAGTAATGAGACAAATATTCTTCATTTTGTTGGTCAAATTTTTCTTAGTGAAGAAGAAGCATTTGTCTTTTACAAGAGATATGCATATCAACATGGATTCTCAATTAGAAAGGGTAGATTCATCAAACAAAATGGAATTATTAGCCGGCTGTAAAGCTCATTTGCGAATTTTATTACAAAAGTCTCATGATATATTTCCAAGTGAATGACGAGTTACAAAGTTTGTTGTTGAACATAACCATGATTTGCTAACCCAATCAGAGCTGCGTTTTTTATCGGCTTATCGAACTATCTTAGAAAATGATTATGAACGCATTTTCTTATTAAAAGAAGGAGGGCTTTCAGTTAGACAAATAATGCGTGTCATGGAGCTAGAGAAAAATGTGAACCATGGTTATCTTCCATTTATGGAGAAGGACATTCGCAATTTATTTTTGAAAGCTAATAAATTTTTTGAAAGAAGTGATGTTATGGACCTTCTGAAGTATTGTGAGGATACAAAAAAGAGTTGTTCTAAATTTCAATATGCTTATACTCTTGATGAAGAAAGAAGGTTAGAACATATTTTTTGGTCTCCTGCTTCTTGTTTTGATTGGTACAAAAAACATGGCGATGTTGTTGTATTTGATACTACATACAAGGTCAATGCATATGAAATGCCATTTGGTATATTTGTGGGTATGAATGGTCATGGAAAGACTATACTATTCGGATGTGCACTCTTACGAAATGAAACAACATCCGCATTTCGTTGGTTAATGAAGGTAATTTTTATACTTACATTTTTTTCTTTATATAGTTGATGCTTTTCATTTAATAAAACAAATCTAAATGTTTCTAATTATAATTTTTATTAGACATTCATATCTTTGATGAAGAAGCCACCAAAAACTATATTGACTGATTAAGATTTGTGGATGAAAGAAGCAATCTCAAAAGAATTGCCATCAACAAAACATAGTTTCTGCATATAGCACATCACTTTTAAGTTTAGTTCTTGGTTTAATGCTATACTTCGAGACAAATATGCAAAATGGTGTTCTGAGTTTTATGAGTTGTATAAGTTGGAGACACGTGAAGAGTTTGAGCATCAATGGCCGGAAGTTGTTGCTAAGTATAACTTGCAATCAAATAAACATGTGAAAGGATTGTATGAAATCCGAAATTATTGGGCGCTCGCTTATCTTCGTGACTATTTTTTTGGTGGGATGACAACCACCAGAAGATCAGAGAGTATCAATGCATTTATCAAAAGATTCATCAATTCTCACACAAGTTTAACTGACTTTGCAAAACAGGTATTATGTACTAATATTTTCAATGCATTAGTTCTTATTGTTTCTAATCTTATGTATTAACTAATTTAAATTAATTCCAGGTTGATGTTGCAATTGATGATATTAAACAAAAAGAAGAGCATGATATAATGTTGGAAAAATGCAAGGGATCAACTATGAAGTTGATTTCACCCTTACAAGAGCAAGCTCACAGTGTTCTCACACGTTTTGCTTTTCAGAAGTTTTAAGAGGAATTTGAAAGGTCCATTCAATATTCAATTCATCATGAAAATGATAATATGTTTGTGTTGCGGTATTATAAAGATGTTAACAATAGAAAACATGTAGTCTTTTGGGATGGTAAAATAGCTACATGTAGTTGCAAGAACTTTGAATTTTGGGGATATTATGTCGTCATATTCTCAGTATTTTTCTTCACAAAGATTGCCATGAATTTTCTTCTAACTACTTGCCATCGCGGTGGCGGCTTCAATTACCACTCAACGATGATGAAATAGAGCCCCAAGTTAATGTTGTCATTAAGGAAGAAGCAATCGATTGCAACAATGAACTTCATTGTCCTCCAAAGTCTAAACCAAAAGGTCGTCCCAAACGAAGACGTCTTAAAGGTGGCAAAAAGTTATCACATAACATGAACACTTGTGGATTGTGTAAAGGTCAAGGACATAACATTGCTACATGTCCTTTAAAAGAGAAAAAGAAGAATAACAACAAGAAGAAGAAAGTTTGTGAAGATGCAAATTTAAACCCGATTCTTCTATTAAAAGTTTAGTTTTATTTTGTTTAAGTTTTTTTCTAGAATTATTTTAATATTTAACTATTTGTGTTTGTGTTTGGTACTGGTAGCTTTGTGAGTACTATTATTTGGCTATATATTTGCCTATTATTTGTAGTTTAACTTTTGTTTTCAACTTTTAAGGAAAAAAGTCTCCAATATTTATTTAGCAAAAGAAAAGAAAAAATGAAACGGCAACAGTGGCGCGTGAGGTGTTAATTTAGCATATGATAATAATAAGTAGCTTTAAATATGACAGCCGTGTAAATCTTTAATATTTTAAGTGTTCTGATATCCAGTGCCCTAAGGGTCAGGGCACTGTTTAAGGAGAATTAATATAGCTATAGCCCCACCCATTTAACTTTGAAATAAACAATTGTTAAGTTTAATAATTAAAATATTAAAGATTTACACGACTGTCATATTTAAAGCTACTTATTATTATCATATGCTAAATTAACACCTCACGCGCCACTGTTGCCGTTTTATTTTTTCTTTTCTTTTGCTAAATAAATAGAACTATCAGTACCAAACACAAACACAAATAGTTAAATATTAAAATAATTCCAGAAAAAAACTTAAACAAAATAAGACTAAACTTTTGATAGAAGAATCGAGTTTAAATTTGCATCTTCACAAACTTTCTTCTTCTTGTTGTTATTCTTCTTTTTCTCTTTTAAAGAACATGTAGCAATGTTATGTTCTTAACCTTTGCACAATCCATAAGTGTTCACGTTAAGTGATAACTCTTTGCCACCTTTAAGACGTCTTCGTTTGGGACGACCTTTTGGTTTAGACTTTGGAGGACAATGAACTTCATTGTTGCAATCGATTGCTTCTTCCTCAATGACAAAATTAACTTGGGGCTCTATTTCATCATCGTTGAGTGGTAATTGAAGCCGCCACCGCGATGGCAAGTAGTTAGAAGGAAATTCATGGCAATCTTTGTGAAGAAAAATACTAAGAATATGACAACATAATATCCCCCAAAATTCAAAGTTCTTGCAACTACATGTAGCTATTTTACCATCCCAAAAGACTACATGTTTTCTATTGTTAACATCTTTATAATACCGCAACACAAACATATTATCATTTTCATGATGAATTGAATATTGAATGGACCTTTCAAATTCCTTTTGAAACTTCTGAAAAACAAAACGTGTGAGAACATTGTGAGCTTGCTCTTGTAAGGGTGAAATCAACTTCATAGTTGATCCCTTGCATTTTTCCAACATTATATCATGCTCTTCTTTTTGTTTAATATCATCAATTGCAACATCATCCTGGAATTAATTTAAATTAGTTAATACATAAGATTAGAAACAATAAGAACTAATGCATTGAAAATATTAGTACATAATACCTGTTTTGCAAAGTCAGTTAAACTTGTGCGAGAATTGATGAATCTTTTGATAAATGCATTGATACTCTCTGATCTTCCGGTGGTTGTCATCCCACCAAAAAAATAGTCACGAAGATAAGCGAGCGCCCAATAATTTCGGATTTCATACAATCCTTTCACATGTTTATTTGATTGCAAGTTATACTTAGCAACAACTTCCGGCCATTGATGCTCAAACTCTTCACGTGTCTCCAACTTATACAACTCATAAAACTCAGAACACCATTTTGCATATTTGTCTCGAAGTATAACATTAAACCAAGAAC